GATTAGAGGAAAATGCACTTTCTGAACACTGTGTGATTGAATAATTTTGTGCACTTTTCGGTTTCAGACTTTTTTCTGTAACATGTGCAGCTGCTGAGAATTATTTTTGTTTTTTCACTGGTTTGGCTAACGTCATTGTTATGTGTGTAAAGCATAGCCAAGGAAGGAACACTTAATTTTAATTTTGTAAGTTTTTTATCAAGCTTGCTTAATATTGTGCACAGCATACAACTTCAAAATATTGTTTATTGTATTTATTTATCTATTTATTGATTTTTGTTTATTAATGAAAAACTTCTGTTGAATTTTAGAGTCTTTATTTTTATTCTTGTGGTATCGAAAATGACATTGAGTATCGAATATTTTACTTAGTATCGGTATCGAGTTGAAAAGTTTAGTATCGTGACAACCCTAATATCAAGCAGGTAGCTATGGTCAGTGTTGAGCAGGAAATAGAGAAAACAGCTTGAGGCAACCTTAAATGATAGTAAGTAAGGGGTAATAATGCATGAACCAGGTGTGCAAAATTAAAAAGTAATGATTTAAAAAGACTTTTTGGTTTGGATTAGAATATTTCAAATTGTCAGGTAGAATATGAAAACATAAGTTTTTCTTAAAAGTTTATTCTTCAAAGAAAAGTGACACAGTTATAGTTTTACTGCCTGATTTTAGTCTGTTCTGTAACAATTAATGCCAAGCCAACTCTGACAATTTACAGTAGTGTCTTTAATAATAATTATTAATTGAACAAAGCCTTTAAAAACCTTCTCAATTTAAAAAAAAAAATCCTCAAGCTGTTGAAAGAAGTTGGCAGACAGAGATAAAGATCTGTTCACCCAGAGTGATTTCCAGGTGGGGATCTTTTTTCCTTCTTCATAGTTAAATGAACACTGACAATTATGCTGTTTTTTTAGAACATGGGCTAAACAGAAGTGATGCAGTCGTGTCTCTCTTTATCTTACTATTTTTTTTTTATGTGTTAGCTGTAGCTGCATCTAAGTGGATGAAGAACAAGCATGAAATTAAGTTTAAAACACCTGGTCTTTGCTGTCAGCATCAATTATCTTCTTTTATTTTAGCTTCCTCTCATCCTAATGTTGTTGTTTTGTTTTTTAATAAACACAATGCTTTCATTTGGCCAATCTGTCTAATTTTAGCATTAGATGTCAAAGCATCAGACTAAGTGAGCAAAAAGACCTAAGTGTCTCGCTCAAGGATAATTTATCATGAAGTTAGCCGGTAATGGGTTCGCCTGGTGTTTAATGGCTGTAATGGGTGTAATAGGCCTTTGCCTGGTCCCCGGATTGGGCCTCTATGTAGCAGATTTATGAGAACAAACAAAGAAAAGAACATTTTAATGATTCCTAAATAAAACCATTATCCTTGTTTTTCCTTTTTTCTTTTCTCCCTCCTGCCCACCCAACCCCCCCACCAGAGTCTGACGGCTCAGACACGGCCTATACAATTTAACAAGGAGGACACAAATGGAGGTGGTTGTTGGGAGAGGAAGAAAAAGAAATAAATAAGCGTAACGTTACAGATATGTGAGGTCCAAATCACTTACATGGGAACAAATATGGCCCATATTTGTCTGTCACAAAAACAGAACTGACAAATAGTTAAAAAATAAAAACAATGAATTTATGATTTTTTCCCATATCACTGGGATAACTGGACATTTTGTTATACCACTGCACAGATGCCATGATAAACACCCTTTATCATTTATATTCAGACTAAGATAATAAAAAAAGCATGATGTGTGTCTAAAGATATTTTATTATACTTCCTTTAAGTGATTAACCAGCATCAAGAAACATGTCAAAATACTCAGTTTAAAGAAAAAGGAACGACCTTGAGCCATACCAAGCACATTAAACCATCTTCTTAATTCGACTCTAATCTACACATTTTATGGCAAATAACAGCGCATACAAAACATCCAATTAAATGCATGCTATTGTTGGATATGACTTTGATGTAAACACAACAGCAAACATAGAATAAAAGCTGATGTAGTTCATTGCTTTCCCTGTGTTGGGCTCTTTTAATTCCCATCCAATGACCTTTGGTGCTTTCTGTCAGTGGAATTGTTTCTAAACAGTCTAGCGAGTAGCCTTCTGGCTGCCTGCTGACCAGCAGTGTGCAGCTATGGGTGGGGCATTTCTCAGTCGCTGCAGCTTTCAAACATCAAACCAAAACTGAAGAATAATTAATTTCACTTTATTTGAATAAACCAAAAATCCACCATTATTCTTACTTCTCCTTAGATTATATAATACTGCTGTTCTAACAACATCAACCAATTTTCTATTTTTATTTTGAGGCATAACATTAAGCAAAGCATATCTCAATTATGGAAAATATTGGATTTTGATATTATGCTAATATTAATTTAATGCTATGACTGTCCACATTTAGCCTGACTCCGCCAGATGGATTTGCTCCGCATATCCATCTGGAAACCTTCCGTTGAAGTAATTTTGGGAAGGGGCGAAAATATTGGTTAGCTGATTGGCCTATGTTGGTGATAGACGGGCCAAATAAACCAATCAGATCAACAAAACATATGACGTACTAACAGAGCGACGACGAAAACACAACCACAAGCCAGGCTACTCTTGCTGAAACCAGTCGGGAGAAGAGCAAAAACATCTTCTTTCAGTGAAGAAATACTCTGTAATTCCGATAAAACTTGCTCGATAGCCACGCTAATGCTAGTTTCAGCGGCTGAAGCCGCCATGTTCTTTAGAATGAACTGTCGCGCTTCTTGTTATGTCACACCTCAACCCGCCTCAAAGCCAACGCTGATTGGACGTCCGTTTGGTGAACTGCTCCAAATTTTCTTTAACGGAAAGTAGCCAGACTGATCTGCGAGTGAAACCTTGAAAGCTTGCAAGATCAGGATGGTCTCACGAGGCTAGTCCACATTCATTATTATTGTAATTATTTCAATGTATTTTTTTTTTCTTGGGTAGGGGCAGTGCTGCCTTACTATGGCAAAACACTTGTCACTAAAATACACTATATTGCCAAAAGTATTTGCTCACCCATCCAAATTATTGGAATCAGGTGTTCCAATCACTTCCATGGCCACAGGTGTATAAATTCAAGCACCTAGGCATGCAGACTGTTTTTACAAACATTTGTGAAAGAATGGGTCGCTCTCAGCTCAGTGAATTCCAGCGTGGAACTGTGATAGGATGCCACCTGTGCAACAAATCCAGTCGTGAAATTTCCTCGCTCCTAAATATTCCACAGTCAACTGTCAGCTGTATTATAAGAAAATGGAAGTGTTTGGGAACGACAGCAACTCAGCCACGAAGTGGTAGGCCACGTAAACTGACGGAGCGGGGTCAGCGGATGCTGACGCGCATAGTGCGAAGAGGTCGCCAACTTTCTGCAGAGTCAATCACTACAGACCTCCAAACTTCATGTGGCCTTCAGATTAGCTCAAGAACAGTGCGCAGAGAGCTTCATGGAATGGGTTTCCATGGTCGAGCAGCTGCATCCAAGCCATACATCACCAAGTGCAATGCAAAGCGTCGGATGCGGTGGTGTAAAGCACGCCGCCACTGGACTCTAGAGCAGTGGAGACGCGTTCTCTGGAGTGACGAATCGCGCTTCTCCATCTGGCAATCTGATGGACGGGTCTGGGTTTGGCGGTTGCCAGGAGAACGGTACTTGTCTGACTGCATTGTGCCAAGTGTAAAGTTTGTTGGAGGGGGGATTATGGTGTGGGGTTGTTTTTCAGGAGCTGGGCTTGGCCCCTTAGTTCCAGTGAAAGGAACTCTGAATGCTTCAGCATACCAAGACATTTTGGACAATTCCATGCTCCCAACTTTGTGGGAACAGTTTGGAGCTGGCCCCTTCCTCTTCCAACATGACTGTGCACCAGTGCACAAAGCAAGGTCCATAAAGACATGGATGACAGAGTCTGGTGTGGATGAACTTGACTGGCCTGCACAGAGTCCTGACCTCAACCCGATAGAACACCTTTGGGATGAATTAGAGCGGAGACTGAGAGCCAGGCCTTCTCGTCCAACATCAGTGTGCGACCTCACAAATGCGCTTCTGGAAGAATGGTCAAAAATTCCCATAAACACACTCCTAAACCTTGTGGACAGCCTTCCCAGAAGAGTTGAAGCTGTTCTAGCTGCAAAGGGTGGACCGACGTCATATTGAACCCTATGGATTAGGAACGGGATGTCACTTAAGCTCATATGTGAGTCAAGGCAGGTGAGCAAATACTTTTGGCAATATAGTGTAACTTAATTGGCATCATCAAAATAGTGGTATGTGGACTTTTTTATTGTTTTAAAACTACACATTTTAACAACCTTCCTATCAGTAACTTTAAAGGTAACAATTGGACCAAACAATCTTTGAATTCACTATATCCAAAATGCATCAGTATCAGTATCAGTGAAAATCCAAATGACATTGCAACATATCTGCGGTTGGGGATTGGGCTTCATTTAATTGCAAACCGTAATAGACCACCGTATTGTGTGATGCATCTAACAATCAATGAGCAACTCAGCAGTCTTCCAAGACCTGCACTGATCAGTTCATCCAGAAATGCATTAAAGTACAAGCCTGAGTAGAAAAGGGAACCTCTGCTAAAAGTCATTTTTTATTGCATTATGTAATCCCATAACTCACTGACAAACCACAGCATTAGATAAACTGACAACATACAAGCTAAAGATGTTTTATAACCTTCCTTACTTTAAGCTTCATTATTATATCCTTTCCTTTTATTTACTTATATTCCACAATATTTCTTTTTCAACTGTTAAATCAATTCCTGTCTGAATCATAAGTATTTTATTCTCTTCTATTGTTTTTTAGAGACTCTTACTTAATAATTTTCCCAGCAATTCCCGCCTAAATCTCTCTAAATTTTACCCAATATATCAACATGTGTTTACCATTTCTGTTCCTCCTACAGCTGTAAATATTTAGATTTATTTTCACTGACCATCCAAAGGCCTTACCAGGTGTGAGCCACGGTGAAGCGGCGCCTCTGTCGGATGCTCTTATTCACCATCAGCTTGCGGAAGAGCCGCGGGGAGCTTCTCGGGGATAGTTTGGGAGACGTCGCTCCCCTCTTGCCTCCCACCACACCCGGCATCTTCGGTGGTTCCAGCTCCAGGTGCATGTGCTCCTTGAACGTCCGTATGCAGGAGTCCATCTCCACGCTCAGCTCGTTGGACGACATACCTGCAGGATGCTGTTGGCTCCCGTTTGACAGACTGTAATTCCTGTCAGATTCTGAGCAATCTGCCTTTCATGTGAACTTGATTCCTTGTGTTTCTGTGAAGCATCAGTTAAGTTTTTATGTACTCAGACAGTCATTCACACAGGCTTTCACCCAGGGATGGGATCCTCCCTCCTTACCCTGTTTCTGACAGGTTTAAGGATTAGCCAGCCAGCAGTTGAGCCCTCTGTCTTTCCCTTTTGTTTTGGTTCATCCCCGGTGTCTTCCTGCAGATCTTTTCTTTATCTGAGGCTACACGGCAGGGTCACTCAAGAAAAATTCCTCTTCTCAACTGCGCCGCTCTCCCATCTCCCCCCTGGTCCTGATGCCAGCTAAATGCCGACCCAATTACAAACTCTTTCTCTCAGTCCATCCAGGTAGCCTGACGTTGGAGGATCTACCTTATGAAATATTCAAGAGGGCTAAAAACTGCTCTCTACCTCTTCCTTGCAACCACTGCTTGACTGACCTCCTCTTCCTGCAAACAACCCCCACCTCTCTAACCCGCTCCCTCTCTGTCTCACTCTCCTAAAGGCACTCCCAGTGTGGCACAGAGTGCTGAGTTTCTAGTCTGATTTTCCCTTCCACTCACCCAGTCAGAGCAGTGAGAGGAGCAGAACGCAGCATGCAAGCAAATACTTCCCTCTGTTTCATTCAGAATATACGCAAGCCTGCCGGAGCAGCAACACAAGCAGGCACAGGCCACGCCTCCTCAGACGAGGATTGGCCAGCGAATGTGGTGACGACAAGCGGGCAAGCCCCAGTAACAGGTTATCGTAATTCATTATTTATTTCCTGTTTATCTGGGATTTGCACTACATTTGTAGTGGTGATGTGATGACCTTTGGTGAAGTGGATCAGCCAAGAAAGAAAGACAATTTGGAAGTGAGATTAGTGCCAACATCTCAATGCGGATTACTGGTGGAAAATGTAAACACAGCTCAAAGGTCAGCTGATTTAAATTAAAACTCCAAGGTATACATTTAAATCACCCGTTATGAGCCCTTCTGAAGGTATTTTGCCCCCATTTCAGCCATGTTGAAAACAGATAAACTATACAACTGCCTTAGTATATAGAAAATAAAGATGTGCTGAGAACAAATTGTTCTGAATGAAAAAAATAAAAAATGGATGTCAATCCCTAAAGATAGGAAGACTTAGACGTAAGTGAGGCAATAAAACTCCCAAAAGAACATCAGAGGAGGCAAATTGGCAACATGATGAGTGATGGAAATGTTAGCACTAGCTCGTCTCCAATTGGGCTGATTTGTTTTGGTGGTGAGTCACCAATGAATCTGAGCCATGGAAGATAACAAGATGCTTTCTCACTACAGGCTTGCCAAGAAACCCCCTTAAAATGGTCTTCAAAGCCTGTATCTAAACAAAGGCAGAAGAAAGTATTGTTAATATCAGTATTATTATTTATAATCAGACTGATGCGCTGCTGCTCTGCTGTTTTTTTTAAATGAATAAATAACCAGCCTTAATAACAGCAACACAGTGTAACTTTTAGCCATCGGGGCGGAAGATCTTTAACTTCCAGGTTTTGCTTCCAAAGTCAAAACAAGTCTAATATAATCTATAGACAAGGGCACATTTACACCTGTAGATTAAATCCTAAATCAGAGAACCAACAACATGCCTGATCGGATAAGGTTCATATCTATACAGCAGGGTTGTCAGCTGTCTCCTAAAAAAGAAAAAAAAAGAACTACCGTATTTTCACGACCATAAGGCGCACTGTACTAAAAGGCGCAGTCTCAGTTATGTGTGCCATTACTGTATTTAACACACACATAAGGCGCACCGGACTATAGGGCGCAGGTTTTATATACAGGTACATGTCCTCTACTACGTTTAAATACCTCTACTGCGTATTTAAAAATAGAGCAGGAGCAAAACTGAGTATGATTGTGCTTTATTCATGTATTTATTACAAAGTATTAATCAAACCCATCAAAGTCATCATCCTCTGTTTCTGAATTAAACAGCTGCGCTAAATCAGACATGTCAATTTCCCCTTCTTCGCTGTCAGAGTCACTTTCCATGCCGGGCAGCTCCTCGGAAATGGTGCCGGCTGTTAGCCCAAGCATCTACAATCCATCCGCAAACGGTGGCGTAACTTGCCCGGCGCTGCCTTCCTCTTTTCGTGAAACTGTGGTCTCCGTCGTTCATCCATCGCTCCCACGCCGCTCCCAGCCTTACTTTGAACGGCCGGTTCGCACCGATGTCGAGCGGTTCCTTAGTCAGACCTCCCGGAATAACAGCAAGCACAGCGTTCATTTGTTTCACCTTGTTTTTCACATCAGCTGTGAGATGGGCACGCATGGAGTCACAGATTAACAGCGATGGTGATGCGTGGAAAAAAACCACCTGGTCTCCTTACATACACCTCCCTCAGCCACTTGATTCGATTACCATGTTCCTCTGCGTAGCTGATAGCCTTCAGTTTAAACTGTGCTTCATAGGCGTGTCTCTTTTCAGGGTTTTTAAGACAACAATGTTCTGCATAAAGCACATACCTGTTCTTTTATACACAATCCACCCCCACACTTCCCCCTTTAACGTTCTCATGGCGGTCTCAACAACATCCGCAGTAACAACACACATAGGGCGCACTGCACTATAGGGCACGCCGCACATTTTGAGGGGAAAAAAAGACGTTTATATGCACCTTATAGTCGCGAAAATACGGTATCCCATATAAAGAAACAAAATATTGGTGTGTGTGTGTGGGGGGGGGTATTGAAAACATAGTTTTACATTTATTATGAGCTTGGAGATATAAAATCCCATTTGTAAATTGTATTTTTTCCTTTTTTGATGATATTAATAATATAATAATAATATATCATAATATATAACAATAATACATTTCACTTATCAGCACTATAAATAACCTTGTGAATTATTTCGTCTCATTAAAAGTTTTAAAATGAAGTGGAGGATCTTGAGTGGATCTGCTGCTTTATAGAGCCAGTGAAGGTGTTTTAGGAGATTTTCAGTTCTTTGAATGTAACTCACACTTTGACTTTTAAAGAAGTCTATTATGTCTCTCTTTTTTTAGACACCCCGTCTGCGAGTCTAATAACCAAACACATATATACGAGCACAGACTCACGTGAGAACAATTCAATTTGGTGTAAATTAATAAACCTGATATTACAACCCTTCTGGATTACGTGACCCAATGAGAAGAAAAATTGCTTAATTTACAGCAGCAGACTCCCTCACGATCTGTCATCTTTTGCATTTTTCCACAAGACCCTAACTCCTGGACCATTTAAGTCATCTCAAAAATCTATCCAAAACCTACTAGAAAGCAGAGATAAAGGCTTGCGACCCTGAAGTTCTAATTATGTGACCAGCCAATCACACTAGAAGGGACAGACAGCCAATCAGGAGCTTGTCGGCGGTCTCAGGGAGGCAGGCTTCAGCTTCAGCTGGGGTTTTCCTCTTGGTCCTAGTGCTCGACGATTGTCTGTGTAGTGTAAGTAAAATTGTTTTTGGACAGTAAAAAGTGCAGGGAACCAAAACAGACTTTTAAAAAAGTGGAAGGGACATGTCCCCTGTCTCCCCCCCCTCCAGCTGTCTACGGGCGAGAGGTGGGGTACACCATGGACAGGTAGCAGGGCGACACAGAGAAACAGGACAAACAACCATAAACGCACACACTCACACCTAAGGAGAACTTAGAGAAGCCAATGAACCTAACAGTCACATTTTAGGACTGTGGGAGGACGCCGGAGTACCCAGAGAGAACCCACGCATGCTCAAGGAGAAGATGCAAACCGTGCTACCCACTGCCCCACTGAGCAACCCCTGATAACACCTGAACTGACTGTTTGTTACCGTTTTTCCTTTCTTTTTTGTGGCTAAATGAGGAATGAAGTGGGCTTAAGGCAGCATCGCAATGCTTTTAAACCTGCGTTTGATTGGTGACAAAGCCATTCTAAAGCACATATCAAGTTGCTCATTTTGAGCCTGGATCCATATAAATTTTTTATTCTGTTCATGGTGGAGAATCCTGCTTCACAGCAGCAAGTTGACCCAAACATACTCAAAATCTGCAGGGTCATCTTTGAGCACACCATTTCACTTTTCTGTCACCAGTTTACCGCAGTTCTTCGAGTAGTCCACACTTTCTTTCACATTTTCTCATCGTCTTCTCCTTTCCCATCACCCGGCTTGCCACAGGTTTGCCTGATGTGTCTAAAGTTAACTAGCAGCAGTAGCAGCAGCCCTGATCGACACAGATCATTGACTAATTTGTATCACGTGTAGCCTGGAACTCTGGAGGGCTTTACCGTACAAACTGGAGAAGCGGCGCAAGTGAAATCAGACACGGCCGTCGGACAACATGCGGTTATTTATAAAGGTTTTAAATCAGGTTGGGTTTGATTAGCCAGCAGGTGGGTCTATATCCGGACCGCGGTCCGCTAGTCCCTGACCTTTGACCAAGGGATAACGAAATACAGGTTCGGTGTGAATGAATCTGAAGAGTCTCTTGCAATATCATCACTGTTCACACTGATACAATGATAATAAATTGGGGTAATTAAAGGGGGGGGGGCAATTTAAACACAGGGATTAATAGGTATTGTCTAAGGTAGTAGCACATGGATACAAATAGAAAACTCTTTCTCTGATTCATTTTAAAGGGCATAAATAACTGTTGGGATCTCTTTAAAAAGCAGCATTGTAGTGGCATATAATTTATCATAATAAGTATTTATATAATAGTATTATAAACAATACTGTTTTTTTAAATAATATAAAGAGACATTTTTGATAGTTTTGCATGATTTTATGTTAAGATAAAATAATAAGGTTTTCCTTTTGTTAAAATAGGACAAACAACAAATAGCAACCAGCAGCAATGAAGTGGTAAAGGATGGCAGAATAACATACATTAGGGAAAATAATATATTCATTAGAGATTTGAATAGTGACTGACTTAAAAAAAAAAACATGATCTGCAATGGTCAGCCAATCAGAGCAAAGCTGCCTGAACACATAAATGAATCGTAGCTATTGCAGCCAGAGAAGAGTAACTGTGGTGTCTGACGTTATTTGGCTGCTGCAGTGTTGCTCAAGCAACCCATTAATGTCGCATGACATGGTGACGTAATGTAGTGCTGGCAAGATAAAGACGACATTCTTTACAAGCATGCATTGCTATAAGACTATGAAGAGTCAATGAATCAGTGATTTATTTAAACCAAAATATGAATGATTTTTTTTCCACTTTTGCAAGTTTACAAATGCCAAGAGAGAAAAATTAGACATTATGAGTGAAAATAAACTGATTAAATCCCTAAGATGTGCAACAGGTCCTGTAGTGATTACTGAATGTTGGAAGTGGTTTGTCTAAATACACGTAGCAAAGCATCTTCCCCTGCATGGAATAAGACAGGCATGACTGATACACACAGACACACAAACAAACCCCAGGGTCACAGCATAGATTGGATGCTGATCAGTTTGGTGCTTTGATTGGATAGCATTGTGGGCTAAACACAGACAGCCTTTGTATTTTAAGACCAGTCTCTCACATTTCCCACCTCCGACAGAAAAACAATAATGGAAAAATGTGTAAAAGTACCAGAGTTTGACTTGAACGCAGATTTGACACTC